TCACTATATATGTTAAAATTCACTTGAAAAAGATAGAAATGATTTAGGACACCCTATATGTAACACTTGTACAATATAATACTAATTCCATCTATAAGGAAAACCTAAGGTAGACTAGAAAGATACTAACACTAAATTCGAGTGATGAAAGAAAGCGGTGAAGTGAGATTGGTTGACAGGAGTTTAGAGGAAGAGGGAGGGGGACGTAAATAATAGTGGTGGGAGAAGAGTTACGATGAATCTCGTAGGAGACTTCTTCTTCAATGGCATGCATACACGCGTTTAGTCGACCGAGAACCGCGTCGCTGGGATGAACTCGCTTTTTTCAAGTTATTTTTATTTATAAAAACAGTGTGTTGTTTCTTCTTAGATTTTTTGTTTGTTTAATTTTTTACTCTTGTTTTTTTTATTTTATTTTGTTTTTATTCCGCTACATTTGAAAGTTTACTTCGATTACCATGAGAAAGTGATTCGTTATAGTAAGAAAGTAGAAATATTATAGTAAGAAATCATTTTCACTAGAGAATAGAAAAGAGTGGTGGTGGGGGAGAAACAAATTTACTAGATTCCACCGTAACGATCCGTAAACGCGAAAATCTAATAATACGCGTGCGTGTTACTCATATAGATTCCGTATTATTGACGTGTACGTAGTGTACATATTACATATAAATATATTACATATATGTATCTAGTATTTTAATTGTGTAAAGTTTGAACGAGTGGCAAATTTTGTTGCCAACAAGAGAAGCAGGTACGGAAATAAAAAAAATAAAAAACTACTTCTACTATTTGATGACTAATTTATCAATGTGTACAATGTTTATGCAATATTTTTCAATGTATTATGGGTGTGTAACGTATACTCGTGTATTATATATATATAGAAAGTATGTATTTCTCGTTTAAAGACCTTTCTATTGCTGACAACTGTTAGATGGTTTTTCAAAGTTCGTTGTACTCTGCATAGTATTTTTTCTTTGAAATAACTATAGTGCAGTTATTATGTGTGTTTTTAAGCGTATTATTATATCATAACGTGACCAAAATTTATTTTTGTTGTTTAGTATACTTAAAAAGATATATATATATATATATATTAGGGTGAGTAAAAAAAATGACTCATAATGATTCATAAACAAAACTGAAATTTGTCTAAAAATCATCAAATTTAAATCTTCAATATCATTCAAATGGTGAGGTTTATGGAAAAAGTATAAGATACTTTTTTTGTAGAGCATTAAATTTCCTACAAAATTCGTCTAGAACATTTTTCTGTACAATCAATAAATAATGAGGTATGAATTTTAATCTATTGGACTAAAAAAAAAATAAAAAACTGCGATGCGGAGGATCTTCCTATTAAAATTAAGAGCTCATATTTGGTGAGAATTGTTTTGAGGTGTCTAGCAACCCATTTTTCTGTGGCATTTGTAAAAGAAAAAAAAAGTCATTTTCTTGACCCACCCTAATATATATATAAAATTTTAAGAAAGTTTTTTTTTAGAATTTGAAACAATTTATTTTATTTATTTTATGAAACTTCGTAGAAACGAGTTTCTATATTTCTTTTTTTTATTTTTTTTTTAAATTATATTATAATTATAAATTACATTACAATTATAAAAATTGTATAACTATTATGAATGATTTAGCATAAATCATGATATACTTAAATTTTAAACCCGTGAGATCTTTTTAACCAAAAAAAAAAAGATAAAAATGATTAGATAAAAAGTATAGTATGTAATTACTATTTTTACAAATTTGCTACTACATAGAGAACAATTTTGAATTCGTGAGGTTTTATTATTTTTATCTGATATTTTTACGGAAGAAAAAAAAATCTCGAACAAAGATAAATAATTTTACTTTACATTATTAGAGATATATAATTTATAAAAATTTATTATATTAAATTATTATAGAAATATATTTATAAATTTAATATAAATATAAAGAAATTTTTAAAAACATATATTGTAAAATTGCGATAACTAAAATTTGATATATCTTTGATAATTTTATATATTTTATATTTATATAATTTATAATTATAAATTAAATTTATATTATATTTTTATTATATTATAAATTATATTTCGCACAATTTATATATTGTAATTTATAGTTATAATATAATTTACGATACTAAAAATATAATTTATAATTATATTATAATTTATAAAAATTTATTATCTTATAATATAGAAATATATTTATAAATTTAATATAATTAAATATATAAATTCATTAAGTACACACATATCGTAAAATTGCAATAACATATATGCAATATTTGGATATATCTTTGATAATTTTATTACAGTTTTGCTGATAACAAAACGAATTGTTCTTTCTTTATTACAAATTACACGATGGAAAGATGATGATAATAACACAGTAAAAGAGAGAAACAATAGAAACATAGTAAAAAAAAATCTTTCTGCAAGATTTCACTATCATAAATCCGTGGATTTTCTTTCGATTGGCCTTGAATGGCTAACATGAGTTTCCTCTCGCTTGAGATTTCTCATACAACGGAGAGATTCTCTTTTATAACATGGTTAATACCAACTTACACACTTATATTATTATTATATAACCTGTTGTAAGAAAAATCAGGTTAATATAAAAAAAGAAAAACAATATTCGTAAGATTCTTATCACGTTGAAAGGATTATTCCCATTATATTAAAATTAATTATATTTTAGTATCACATATGATCTAATATTGTTATCTAATTATTATTATTATTATTATTCCTTTATCTATTGATCACTTTTTATAATACTTATCTCGATAGAATATCAATTAATAATAATAATTAGGAAAGTATTAAACTCACACATTTATGAGAGAAATAAAGTACACACATATATATATATTTCGTATTAGTTTGTATAGTTTTTGAAAGAAAATCTAATTGAATTCTTTAAATCAATAGTAAAACTCTTTCTTTCTTTGTCTATCTCGAGATTAGATAAATTTTATTTGAAAGGTTTTATAAAATGTAGCAGTATAAAGTAGTAACACACATATTTTCTATATTCGAATTTACAGCATGGTGTGTGCAATTTTATTTATTATATATTATTTATTTTATATAATTTTATTTAATTATTATTATCATTATAATTAGTAATAAAAATTAATGAATATTTTTTTTTAACATATACTCGTGATCAAATTTAATTATTTTTGTTTCTAATAAATTTTATATAATATTATATATTATATTATATTTACAATGCATTGAAATATGTAATTTTAATAATAATAGTTATAATAATAATTATTAGTTAGCTTTACTTGTTCTCGGAATTTATTCAAACGTATTTAATACCTTTCCTTATATCCATCTCGTTATTTCTTATATTTTGTTTTTTCTTTTTTTTCTTTTTTTTTTTTTTAATTATCGATAAATCTGTGGTTTTGTTTCTATGTTATTCGATAAAGTTAAGTTTCTTTTTCGTAAGAAAAAAATTATTGTTAAGTAATCAGAATAGTAATAAGAAAAAGAAAAATATAAATTAATATCCTGTTCCCCTCCCTCCCCTTCCTCTACTTTCTCCTCCTCTTCCACCTCCAATTACAAATCTACATTTTTGGAAATTTACAAAATGATATTTATTTTATTAAAGATTAATAAAAATGCCCGATAAACCTTAATCGGTTTAAAATATCAACTATGATATTATTCTATAATTGATACTTGAATAATATAACTATTATGGTATAATATTTTTCATATTTGTGCCCATAATTATGAAAGTGGTCTAAGTCAAAATTAAAAAAAAAAAGAGTTTATTAGTTATTACGCACTACATTATTATAAACTAAACAAATTCAATGTAATTTTCACGATATTATCAAAAATGAATCGTTAGATTAACGTTTGTTTTTTCAATATTATTAGGTTGAGTCATAAGTAACTTCCGATGCGGCTATGTACAATCTAATTTTTCGTATTTACCTACTATAAGTCACCGAAACAAACGGATTTTCGATATCACTATATAGATGAGGATTCAGTTAGTCTTCTGTCAAATTTTTTATGCAGTCAATGTTACATTTAACCGTTTTTCTTAACTACTGAAATGGATATTAAAAAATACATATTCGACATGTAATGCTTAAAGAATTGAAAAAAGGCAATAGCACTAAGGTAGCAACTGAAAAAATATACAGTGTATACGGTGCAGGACTGATAACTGATAGGACAATCAGAAATTGGTTTGAAAAATTCTGTTCTGGAGATACGAACTTAAAAGATGAACCGAGTGCTGGACGTATTTCCGACTTTGATGAACCTTTTAAAGGTAATATTGCAGCAAAATCCAATAGATACGTTCAATAATTGCAAAGAGTGCAAAAAAACTCCATGAAAGGTGTATTGTAGTTATCAGTCGCAAAAACACCATTCTTTGTCTCATAAAAAACGGAAGTTATTTATGACTCGACCTAATATATAGAATTCATATAGTGTCCAAATATAAATCTTTAAATATCTCGAAACAAGAGATATATTACTTAGACCATTTTCATAATTATGGGTACAATTATATATGCATACATTTTAATTATATTTAATTAAAAAATAAATTTTTGTATTTTGATTTTAGGTCAAATAGTGTAATCCGTGGTTTATCTTAAAGAAGATCAATTGAAGATTTTGAGAACGAAAGGACAACAAGGAAAGTTTTATTCTTCATTAAGTTTCCTGTTATTCATCACAACGTCGTCGTCGAATAAATGAACAAATAAACAAACAAACGAGCCACTGGTCGCGTGCATTTCGCAACTTACACATCTTCTCAACTTTCTATTCAAATTTTAAAAGAGAGATAGAAAATTCGCAAAAACGAAGAAACAAAACAAAACAAACAAAAATAAAAAATATCTCATAAAGAAAGAAGACTACTAATTTTTAAATAAAAAAGGGGAAGAAGAAGGAAGTGTTAATTAATAATCGTCTACGAGAGATTTGAGAAAGAACATCACAATCATTTGAGAAAGAAAGAAAAAAAAAGTTCTTCGGCGCCTAGTCTAATCGCCTGGCACGATGGCTTGCGAATTTTCTAAGGTGAGTCGATCATTTTTCTATTATATAAACAGAATCTTATATATATATATATATGTATATGTATATCTATATATACATGATAAACACGTATTATCTAACAAACAACTCAATCAAACCATTTATCTCGTATTTTTATTATTTACTACTATTAAATTATTTATTTAATTATTTATTAAATCAATTACTATAAAGTTTTTAATTTATAATTATTAAAATATAAAATTAATTAAATTAAATTTATATTTTAAATAAAAATATAATTAAATATTATAAATTAATTTATAAATATAATTAATATTATATTTAATATTAATATTACTAATTTTATTAATTATTAATTAATAAAATTAATAATATTATAAATTAATTATTTATATTATTTATTTTTAAAATTATATTAATTTTATTTATAAATTTATTAAATCAATTATTATTATTCAAAAAGATATAAACATTTTTTTAAATTTTTTCATATTTATATAGAAATATAATTTTTATATTAATACATATAAATACATAATGCGGTTCTTTATTTGTTTATAAATACTATAAATATTAACAAATTATTATTATTATTATTATTATTATTATATATATATACATATATATATGAAAGGGATTTATAACCTTAAAATTTTAGAATAGAATTTTTAAATTTTTATTTAGCACACGTGATATATTATTATTAAATCTGAACGATCATTTTTTAAACTATTTTTGTTTTGTTATTATCCTCGATGAAATAATTATTGCATACAAAATATTATAATGAAAAAACGATTGGTTTTTTTCGAAAAGATCAAATGGAAAAAACGACCATGTTTTTTCTCCATATTTAAACCGATGAAAAATATTTTAAGGTTAGGTGTCACACATGCACTACACAACACACAATTTTTGAGAAACGGATAACAGAATCTATATTATTTTTATCCTATGACATGTTCATAGATAAAATTAAATATTTTTTCAAGATAAAAATGTTTAACATAGATAAATATATTTTTAAAAAATTTTAAAATAACCCCAATAAGGTTTCCCGATTTTTAAATGTATTTATATTTTTAAATGTATGATATATTATAAAAAAAAAATTTATTTTATAAAATACTTACTACAAATATTAATAAAATATAAATAGAAGTATTATTAACCAGTAAAGTGTGGCGATCTGTGCGCAGAGTGCGCTCTGGTGTATGTCGCGATAATCAAGCGATGACGGATATAGTCGTCAAACACAGAATAAGTAGCGCTGTTAAAATATTGGATAGTCAAAAAGACGACTTTATTTTAGAAAATGAACAATTTTCTTAGTTATGTACACACAGTTTCTTAATATGCATATATATTTATACATAATAAACGGAAAAATTAGAGAAAAATCGAATATTTATAGAAGTTAAAAATTTATTCTTGACTTTTTTTTCATCTCTAAACATTTTAAACATATTAAAATTTACGAATGTAATTTAATTTTACGCCAAAATTACAATTTAAACATCAAATTGTAAAAACTTTTACGCATGACGAATATAGTCATCAAACACACTTAACTGGTTAAAAAATAATTTTCCAATAAATATATATATATATGTAGATAATTGCATCATAATGCATAATCTTTAGAATTATGAGGAAGTTAGGAATTTTTCGTTCGATATAATCAATAAATTATTACGATATGATATCTTGATAATGATTTTGTTGATTAACTTCTTTATTTTAAACTCCGATATTACCATTGCTATTTTTTCAATATTTTTTTTCCATGATTTTGATATATTCTATTGTTTTTTTCCAGTATTTAAACCACGTGAACATTACATACCATTAAATTCGATTGAACTTTATAAAACGAGTTGATTACATATACAACACATAATAACACTAACACAAACACAACTATTAAAACGTATCGAGAAATGATAATTACCGTCTGAGAATAATAGATGGTTTAATTATTTATTTATTTATTTATTCAGTTTATTATCATCAATCCCCACATTTTTCATTTTATTCCAATTACTATTTTTTATTATCTTTGTCCTATTAAAACATTTAACGTATATGTAAATATGATTTAATTGTAAATCTTTTTTTTTGTTTATTTAATTAAATTATTAATTTTACTATCGTTAGATATTTAAAGTTAAAAAATATCGGGTTAACTAAAAAAAAATGATGGAAGTGTGACCGTTAGATTGTCATAAATAAAACTGCATTTAAATGCACCGTTGTTGCATTATTATAATTACTGCGGTAAGATTTTGCAGTTAAAAACTGTGCTTGTTATCAGTTATTTTCTTATCCGCGAATAGTACTATTAAATATAAACACGTGACATAAGTTGTCACTTATTTTTTCGAGCATATCAATTTGTTGCTCGTCTAGTTAACAATAAGAGAGTTGGGAAACTCTTACCTTGAATATAATATTTAAAATGATTCAAACGCGCTATCAACAGATAGAAGAGAAATAATGTTGCACGCAATACTTCTCGTTTATTACTTGACAAGTTTTATCAACAATTATTACGAAATTATATACATACATTGGGATCTCTGGCAGGAGTGTGGCTTACCCTAGCGGCAAAAATATGAATTAGAGACTGGAGGTTGCTGTGCAATACTTATATAACCAAAATAGAGAACAACGTTTATAACATTATCATTTTTTTGTAATTAAATGAAATAAAATGAAACTTACATTGCTAGAAATTTGTAAGTTTGTTTGTACAAAACCAAGCAATAAAAATTTTGTTGGTGGTGAAAGTGTATTAAATGCTGGACATGTGATTAAGTGTGGACAAGTACCAAGTCGTGATTGTAATATTATAAGTATTTTTTTTTTTAATGTAATTTAAATCAGCTGTCAACAATTCGTCCTAACTGCTCTAGTTTTGAATTTAGCCACCAGATAGCGTATTCTAGTGCTAAAGATCCCAATATATTTTTTTTATATATTTTTATTATATAATAGGTGTACAACTTTGTTTCCGCTAGTTTACTATACAGATGGCTTATAGAAAAAAGTCCGCCATTTTTTCCAATGTTCCGGCAAAAAAAATGACGGACTTTTTTCTATAAGCCATCTGCAGGAAAATAGTGAGATCAAAGCTGTACACTTTATTATATTATGATATATGTATACTTCGTGTTACACGAGTTTTCGCGAATTGTTAAACAATTCTTTTTGTTTATTATATAAATATATCATTTTTCTTCTTCTTATTCTTTTTTTCTTTGTTTCATTTTCAAATTACTTTCCTCCTTCTTCCCCTTCTTCTTTCCTCCCATCTTACGTCTGTCTTATTTTTTATTCTAACAAATTATTCTCACGAATTAATTACACAATCGTTGTTATACCATTTAATCGCGTATAGAAAAAAGAAAAAAATGCATCTACCGATAGCGAGAAAAAAAAATAAAAACAAGAGTTTGTTAAAAGGTAGTAAGGTAATTACTTTAAACGACGATACGTGGAAGTACAAAGAAAATAAATTATATACGAAGTTAAACGTATTTTAACACGATACGATAAATAGATTTTTAAACACGTAATTTATTATTATTATTTGAGAAAAAAAATGTGTTGTTCGTAAGTTTTACTCAACATGTGTGTTTTATGCTCGATAAATGATAAAAAATAACCGCGATGGTCCTTAAGAAAGTTCCATTGTGGAAACCAAAATAAAAAACAAAATTTCTTATTAAAAATCTTATTTATGGACGAGAGTACAGTCTGACCTAAAAATAAAGAAAAAAAGTACCATCGCGGAAAAACCAAAATAAAAAAAAACATAATAAAGCAACCAGTGGATCTATGTGTGTGTTTCTCTCTCTCTCTCTCTTTCTCTCTCTCTCTCTGTCCTGGCCCCCCATGCAATCTGAAGCAGCCCAAACGATGGCCGATCCACGCGGCTTCAAGCCAATAAATCAGTTGTGGCAGAGCGTGGCAGTACCAACGGATCCGGATTCGGAATACTTATACGAGGAGATTTCGGGCCTTTCGGGGTCCCAGGATAACGAGACAGGGCCGGTGGGGGCCGCTGTCGTTGGGGAGGAGGAAGAGGAGGAAGAGGAAGAAGAGGAGGAGGAAGAAGAGGAAGAAGAAGAGGAAAAAGAAGAGGACGAGGAGGAGGACGAGGAGGAGGAGGACGAGGAACAAGAAGAAGAGGAAGAAGAAAGTAGAAGAAGACAAGAAGAATTAATAAATATCAGTAGAATAAACAGAGGTTGGTGGAGATATCACGATACAAAAGAGAGTATTTGTACAAGCAATCCAACAACAACAACCACCACCATAACAACAAGCACCACCATAGGCGACCATTTGAAGTCGCGTAGCAGCAGTAGCAGCAGCAAATCGGCCGACAATCGGCGGCCATCTTCAATTATTTCAAACGAAAGGAAAAATATCAATAGCAGGGTGGAGGAGGTGCAGCATGCCGCGCGCAGGAGTTACGTGGAGTCCGGTACAGGAGGATCGGTACCGCCACCACCTCCTGTTGCAACCGGTCTCAAGCTGACCTCGAGGGGACGCACTAACAGCAACACAGTTGCTCATTACATTAGATCGGCCAGTACCAATACCGGTCAACATTATCACCACCATCATCACGGCTTGCACAGCCAATATCCGGTCGGAAGTGGTGGGACCACTATCAGGCCGAACGTCAGGCATCATCATCAGCATAGAAGATTTGTCAGTAATGAGACGCAGGAAGAGATACAGGAGGACGATGAAGCTACTCTACGGGAGTTGCTTGTAAGGTACGTTTTATCAACTATCCCTTTATCAACATTCTTCCCCTAACTAATTCTTTGCTTTTTTTTTACCCCCAACTCTTTTCTAATATACTAATATATATATCTTTCTATATCTATCTGTCTATCTAATCTATCTATCTGTCTATATCTATTATCTATATCTATCTACTCTACCCCTTTTTTCCCTTTCCAAACTAACCTATCTACCTAACCCCTGACTTAACCTCTCTTTCTTTTTTCGTTTCTTCTTTACTTACTCTTTTTCTTTTACTTCACAGTTGATGATCCCAACTATACGATGTGTATTGATTATATTAATGACACTTTTTGTAATGTTTAAAAATTACTTTAAGGTTAGGTTATTTTTTTTGTTTTGTCCTAAACCGGTCCGATTGATTATTTTTTTTTTTATGACCTAGACTTATGTTTCTTTTTTTCTTCTTTTCTTTATCAAACTATATTACATTACTCCGGAGAATATGGTATATATATTTCCGATCAAAAAGGTTAGGTTTCTTTTTCTTTTTTTTTTGTTACTTGGTGTCGCCACCAATGTTCTTGAGAATTATCTGGATTCTTATTCCTTAGGTGATGATATGACACACGTCAAGGGAAAACAATTTCTCTTAGGAGATAAAAAAGGATAAAGAAAAAAAAAAGGAAAAGATCAAACAACGGGATTTGTTTTTTTTTTCGTTTGAATAATTGAACTTTGAAAGTTCGTTGCAAAATTCTCCATTTTCTTTGTTTTTTCTTTTATTTATTTTATCATTCCTTTTCCTCATTCTTTTCTGATTACTCAAGATTTTATTCCTTTTCTTATTTTTTTTGTTCTAACGCGTTGACTTTATTTAATCGAAAGAATTCACCAAACGGGTAGTAAATCAAACTCCGACATTTTAAAATGGCGATAATTCGTATAAATATTTTATATGGTACAAAGAAAAAAAAAGAATGCATCCGTAAAACAACAACGACGACGATAATAATAATAATAATAATAATTATTATTATTATTTCCTATCAAAAGTGATTATAATTATCGCATTATAACCTCACTTTTTGAAACGATTATACCTTCCTTCTTTTTTTTTTGTTTTCGTATATCGCATATCGTAAAATATTTTTATTCGTATATAAATAATTGTATTAATTAGACATTATTTTTTTTTTAAATTAATTAAATGTTATTTTAAAAAAGAAAGATATAAATTTATTTAAAAAAAAAATATTATTATCAACGATAATTCGAATTAAAATATATATATACAACATATACATATAGAAATATACAATTTTAACTTTAATTAATTTGCTCATTGCATTTTAGCGCTTTTGCTTTAAAAATAAAAAGAATAGAAACCAAAAAAAATGATTTGTTTAAAAAAAAACGTAGGTTTTAGTAGACCACCATCAAACAATAATTATTTAATAAATTATAATTTATGATCTATTATTTTTTAGATATTTTTTTCTTTATTATATGAATGACAAAGAAATGTAGAAACAAAAAACAAATAATTTATAATATATTATTGTTAGTTAATCGTGGAAATGTATTATCAAATGTATTTATCTTTTATAGTAGATATATATATTAATATTTTTTGATACAAGCATCCTTGAATCTTCGAAAGTAATTTAGTTTAGCACCGCGATAGCTCATCGGTAGAGCTCTTCAAGCTTGCATATCAATTAAGAGGATATTTTATGCTCTCTCTTTCTCTCTCTTTCTCTCTTTCTATCTCTACTTCTATCTCTCTTTCTTCCTTTTTCTCTTGTTCTCTTTTTTAGATCGTTCTAAAGTGCTCGATAAACCCCAGATATAGTTTTGAACTAATCGTAAATATTTGAAACCTTTTTTCAAATATTTCCATAGACACCACATGTGTGTCATCTTTTCTATTTTTTTTTAATTTAATTAATTTCCAATGGGATGATATTCCAAAAAAAAAATAAAAAATAAAAAAGAAATAACAACAACAACAACAAAAATAAAATAAAATAAAATAAAAAAAATACAAAAGGAAAAGGAAACGAAAAATGCATCCAGGTAATTCTGTCTTCAGTGGCGGTACCTTTGATTGCTTTCATCTTCAACAAAAATATAAAAAAAAGAAGAATTTACAAAAAAAAAAAATAAATAAAAAAAAGGAATCAAGAAGAAGAAAAACGAAATAAAATCAAGTCAAATCAATTAAATCAATCAAATCAATCAAATCAAAAAGTAAAAAATGCAAATAAATAATAAATAATATCTTCCAATATTATTATCATTTTCTAATCCACATATATATTTCTATACCTATATATATATTTTTTTTTCATTTGTTTTTAAATGAAATACTTTTTGGAGAATGCGAGGCTTTTTGCCATACCATTCAATATTCATTTATACATGATTCACAATCGCTCTCTAACTTAGACGACCACCTCCTATATCCTTCCCCTACACGTCCCTTTTAGTTGATAAAAAAAAAAAAGAAAAAAAATACATGAAAAAAATATTTCTAACACTGGCAATACGTTTTGTGTTATGGTTATTTGAATTCTTTGGCTGCGGCGCTCGCAGGCTTACCACTGATCGCTCCATTCCATTTCGAATCATATTAAAAACTCCATGTTTAAAGTCGAGTAAAAGAACAGGTATATATATAGTATGAATGAAGTATACCTAACAGATATAATCAATAATAATAATGAATTAAAATTAACATAAAAATTTGGGAACATTTGTTCTTGTACTCGACTATCTCTCTCTCTCTCTCTCTCTCTTTCTGTCTCTCTTCCTTCCTTTCAATCTTTATTTTTTACTTTCTCGTCGCTCATCGACATCATGCTGAATTTTTGTAAAATTATTTTGCCGATTGTTCGTTTCGCATAAAAAAGTGATGGTCCATTCAAATTGCAAGCTCGCTTGTGGACGCGGGCGGCAGGGGTGAGTAAGCTGGCGTTGCGTCGCATGGCGATGAACAATACAAATAATAATAATAATTAATAATAATTATTAATAATAATAATATATTTATTTAAAAAAATTATAATTATAATAATAATAATATATACATATATATTAATATATATTATATTATTATAAATTAAAATAAATATATTACTCTATTATATTATTATTAATTATATATAATTATATATTTATAATTATATTATAATTATTATATAAATTATAAAATAATAAAAATATATAAATAATAAAAAAAATTATATTATAAATTGCATTATAAATTATATAATTTTATTCATAATATTATTATCAATAAATTATATAAATTATAATTATTATATAAATTATAAAATAATAAAAATATAAATAATACAAAAAAAATTATATTATAAATTATATTTATAATATAATTTAATTTTAATTAATAATTTATAATAGAATTATAAATTAATAATAATAATAAATAATATTAAAATACGACGGCTTTCCTTTTTCACTAAAAAAAAATTAAAACGAAGGTCGTCGAACAAATCTATCTCTATCTCTTCCATTCTCTATCTCTTCCATTCTCTCTCTCTCTATCTATCTATCTATCATTTATCTATCTATCTATCTTTTTCTATCTTATCATCTATCTATCCCTTTATATTAATTAGAGGAAAATTGAACGTCACGTTACTAAAAAATGCGAGCGAATAAAAATATCATTATTGACATTATTATTGACTGAACCAAGACTGTGTTTCCAAACTAGGTAAAGATTTACAGAGTGAGTGATAAGAGAGAAGGCAAAAGGGGCCAAAAGGCAGGCGGTGGTCAATCAGTCAGGTCAGGCATCGTCGGCCTTTATATAGCGCCGCCCTTCCCCCCTCTCCGCCACACGTAACCCCCACCAATTTGGTTGTGGACCTACTTGAACACCACCAACCAACACACCACAAGCGGGTGCAATCGTACTCTCTTCTTCTTCTCTTCTAACAGAGAGTCAATTCGCATTGGATTTTGATGGGATAATCCAACGTACGTACAATAACAGTCGTGTGTTGTGAGAAAACAATAATAAAACAAAAAAAAATAAAAAAAAAGTAAATAAAAACAGAACAGAACAGAACAAAAAAAACTCTAGATAGATAGAAAGAACTCAGAACAGAACAAAAAGGACACTAAGAACTCAATATTTATATATATATATTATATATATATAAATCTGTCTGTCTCTCTCTCAATCTATGTGAGAGAATAAGACGAAAGAAAACTGAATCAAGAGGAATTTTATAGTGGGGAGGCATAGAGGCTACTGTAGTTTCGGAACACAGCCATGGTCTCCCTACCTCCCAGGTACATGGCAACATCATCTTCGCTGCTCTATCTATCTCTATCTCTATCTATCTATATCTTTCTCTATCTCTCTTTCTCTCTTTCTCTCTCTCTTTCATCTTACACCATTCACCCTATCTCTTTCTATTTCTATTTCTTATCATTAACCTTCTCACCACTCACCAAACCCCTCTCTCTCTCTCTCTCTCTCTCTCATATTTCTATCGTTACATTTTTCTTCATATTTTGTACTGTTATATCTTTGTTAACCCTTTGGGTACACATTTATATTATTTATATAATTATATAAATATTTTTTAAGTTATATAATAAATTATTATAATATTGTAATATTTATATGATAGTAAATTTAAATTAATATTGATATATTTTATATTTAATTATATTATAAATTTATGTGATGGTTTTAGCGTAGCGACAACAGTTCGGCGTTCCGTGCCTTTTAGAATCCGAGTCGTTTTAGGGTTTCGAATCCGGATAGGGGTAAATTTGTTTTATTGTCTATTTTTATATTATCTTTTATATAATAAATTTAAATTTCTATTATAATATTAAAATAATATTAATATTATAATATTATCAAAATAATTTGATATATTATAATACATTTAAATTTCTATTATAATATTAAAATAATATTAATATTATAATATATTTTAAAATAATTTGATATATTCCTACACATATTGTAATAAATTTAAATTAATATTAAATATTATAATAATATAAATATTACTTATTACTTTGAAATAATTCTTTAATTTGTACCCAAAGGGTTAAGATAATTTTGCATTTTATAAGATAAATCATTAATTTCACGTCACATTTCATTCCTACTGTACGTAACATACGTTGTTCATTTTTGTTCATTTTGATTATTTTGATTATTTGCTTCTTCCTTCTTTCCCTCCTCCCTCCCCCTTTATCCTTTTATATTATACTATTGACTATATGCACACACATGCACTAGCTCTCATTCGCTATCAATCTCACTCATTGTCAGTCACATACACACTTACACGCACGCACACACACGCCTTGCAGCAAATCTTCCTTTTTATTTTTCTCTCTCTCTCTCTCTCCTCCTATTTTTTGTTCTACTCTCTCTCTCTCTCTCTCTCTCTCTCTCTCTCTCTCTCTCTCTGTCTCTCTCTCTTCTTTCTCTTTCTTCTAAATCTTCTATCTTTAAAACATAAATATCATTATCCTATCTGCTTGGCTGTGCACATCGATTGATTAATTTACTGAACACTTTTTTGATCAATTAAATTCATCAAATGCCTATTATCGAAATGAAATTAGAAATGTTGTTTTTTAATTATCGCCATGTGACCCGTCGTACAAAATTGTTTTCTCTTTCCTTTTCATAATATCGCACATTTTCCTGCATCGTGTTCAGTAGATCTCATGCGTATTGCCACTTTGCGTAACATAATTTACATATGGGTGTATTATTTGTGTTAAAATAAACAAAATTGTTTTTTCTTTTATTTTTTTTTTAATTTTGTTTTTATGGTTTTCAATTCGAATTGAATAATAGAAAATAATACGAAGGAACGGTTTAAACGGATTGACCACCCCCAACCCTCTAACCCCCCATATAAGTGCATCAAAATTGCACCAATGTTACACAGTTTTTTTTTGTTTATTTTTTTTTTATTTAATTTTATCTTTCCTCTCTTTTTGTTAATCATTGTTTTTAACAAAAAGAAAACAATAAATAAAAATAAAATTAATAAATTCATTTCAGATGAGACACACAACATGTACATTCACGTACACATACATTTATACATTCATACATTCAGATACACACACATAAATAATTAATAAATAAACTAATATGATGAGATTCAATTATATTTTTATTTCGTCTTTCTTCTTTCTCTATTTTTTTTATAATTATTAATTATATTTATTTTATTATAATATCTTTCTATTTGATCCCCTTAAGAAACTATTACTACCCCTATCTAATGTGCACAGCTGCGAAAATATTATAACCAATGAACGTAATATAAATAAATCCTAGTATTCCCCTCTTTTTTACTTACACACCTAAAAATACCCATACACATCTATTAGATATGCTTTTAGTGGCGTTTGTAAAATTTTTGTCTATTGTAATCCGTGTCTCTCTCTATCTACCTCTCTCTTTCTCTTTCTCTCCTTTTCACACAAATTGTTATATATATATTTTATAAATAAATAAATAATATAACGATCCAATGTTAGAAAAATTAAATTACCTATCAATTTTAAATATACTTGCATATATATATATATATATATATGTTACCCTATATTGAGATCTCTGGCAGGGGCGTGGCGTAGCATTTTGACCTATCTACTCTAATTTTGAATTTAGCCACCAGATAGCGTATTCAAGTGCTAGAGATCTCAATACCATTAAAACATGTGATTCAATTATTTCATAAAAATATTAGAACAATTTAAGGAAGGTATATAATAAGTTATTTTATTATATACTTTACTTATATAATTCTTTATTATTCTATTGTGAAATAAAGAATTTTCACACTTTAAAGGTAACATATATAATATACATATGTATATATAAATCGCGGTACCGTTGTTTATAAAATAAATAAAAATATATAAATAAATTTTTCCGATTATTTTCTTTGACTGTCGAGCAAAAACTTGTCGGTTCATTCGCGGTTTAGTCTTTTCAAAGTTTTCTAAGAAACAAGTGTCTACCTGTTGATATGTATTGTTATATATATATTTCTTTCCTACTTGTGGGACGTCGCGAAACCTTTAACATATATACCGGGTGTTAATTTATAAAAGTGAAATATAAATACAAATAAACTATTTTCTTATCACATAAAATAATTCTCTATATAGGAGAAAAAAAGAGCTCGGCAGTTATCGCGACCTTGAAGAGTTAGTCTTTTTTATTTATTTTATACGGGCGAGAATATTTAACAAAAAATTATTAACAATTTTGTTATATAACTTAGCTGGTCTTGATTCCCCTAATTTCCCCTAAATTCCTCCTTTTTCCTCCTTAGCGTGTCAATGTGTTACTTCGACAGAACAATGTCGATTATGTCTGTTTGTTTGTTTTTTTTTTTTTTGTAATTTTTTTTGTTGTCTATTCTTCTTCTTCTTTCCCTTCGGCCGAGTTAGGGAAATTTACGTGTGGCTATGTGTGTGTGTCTGTGGACAGTCTGCAGAAACAGGTCAGCGTTATGAGTATGAACCTGAGTGCCAAGTTGGACGAGCTGCAGCGGGGTGACCGCCAGCTGGAGACTACTGTCGCCCTATGTGAGATTCGTACACAACTTCAGGAACTAACCAAAAGTGTTGAGTCTTGCCAGAGCGAGGTCAGCGAGGTTAAAAGGGATATGGTCGCGATTAAGGTACTTCTTCCCCATCCCCAACCCTTTTCACTTTAATATATCGTTGGTTCTTGTTGTCCCATTAAAAACAAAAAGAAAAAAAAAACCACCCGCAATTTATTAACACCTCCTATAATTATAATTAAATATTAGTTGTTGTCCCTTTAAAAACAAAACAAACAAAAAAAACACCCTAATTTATTATTTCCTTCTACAATTATTATTATTAAATGAGTATAGAAATTTTTTAATTTTAATTTAATATAAAATTTAATATAAATATATTTTTTAATATATATTATAATTATACCTTCTCCATAATTATAATTATTAACTTCATATATTACAATTATTAAAAAAAAGAAAGTTTTTAATTTTAATTTAATAAAAAATTAAATATTGGGATCTCTAGCAGGGGTGTGGCATAGCAAAAAATACGACCTTTCTACCCTAATTTTGAATTTAGCCACCAGATAGCGTATTCAAGTGCTAGAGATCCCAATATATTTTTTTTTACATTCCCAACTACTCTGTGATATCAATAATTTTATTACATAATCTAGAAAAATTGTAATAAAATATAATAATTGTATTACATATTATATATACATATATTATGTATTCTACCTGTCTACCCACCTGTCGTGTATTTTATTTAACTTAGCACGAGCTAGACACCGTGCAGCAAGTAAAGGAGGAGATTGAGGAATTACGAGAATATGTAGATCGCCTGGAAGAACATTCACATCGACGAAAACTCAGACTGTTGGAACAGGTGACCCTTCATATCGAATAACAAAATAAAAAAAAAACAAAAAAAACATGGTTTTTCTGTTCTTTGTTTTAGTTGTAATCTGTGATACGATATGGATACGATACCTGAATTTTGCTTTTTTTTTTAATTAATTAACATTACCCTCTCTTATTCTACTTTATTTTTATTTTATATTTTAATATACGACATAACCTATTTTATATATATATATATATATATATATA